GTTTATATACAAAAAAATTTAATTACTGCCCATACACTCGTAATTTATATTGCGCAGGGGAAAAACAAATTCTATTAGTTAAATTCGTGAAAAACTAAATTTGAACAACATTAATGTACACTAAATGTATACACATTGTGTATAAAGAGACAATTTTTTTGTATTTTGAATAAATATTAATAAACAATAAACATTAAAAATTTCATGCATTCATTATTTTCTTATTTTTATCTTGTTTTATCTTTCACTAAGATTTTCATCTTAATATCTTAGCTAAATATTAATGAAACACACAAATATTTTACACAAAAATCATTCAAAAGCAATTTATTACATTATAATCCATGATTATTACCCATAAATGAAACACGATAAGAAAAGTGTAATGTAACAGCCATTGAAATTAGTTCAACATAAAAGTAGGATAAATTATTCAATTTAACAATTTTCAATTACCTATGAAAAATCACTGACTGAGTCAAGCTGTCATTTCATCGGAGACGAATGAATATACATATATTCTCATACAAACATTCAAGCGTACTAACATTAAATTATAAATATGTTTTAAGAAAAGTGTAGCTTCTTTCAGTGTGTCGTCGTATGATATTTCTTGTAACAGGCTGTTTTAACCATTTTGCTCTCTCTTCGTGCGTATCATGGTCATGTACAATACAAGACCGGCGCTACAACCTAAGAGTGGGAGGGGGTGATTTGTCGCAGCGGATATGAGAGCGGGTGGTGAATACCGCACTGGACGCAATATTATTTTAAACGATGATATAGGAGGAACGCGTGGTGCCGCAGAACGAACCGCGGTTTCTCGAGCCTCGCGAAATGAAAATCACGAGATGTATGTGTGTATCTATGTTCGTGAAAGAAAAGGACGAGATGGGCGAGACACATTGAATTCCAAGCGCGTATGTAGAACTTAGTTTCAACGCCTTATCAGACACGTGCACGTCCTGTTTTTCCTTAATTTCAAACAGATGCCTTATTCGCTACGTCGTTTTTTTTTTATTCTTAGATTACTTTGTATTATTCGTATGATAAATTGATTGCATAGAATAGTTAATTTTATCATCTCATTTATTTTACTTGTAATACCGAAGAATGAAACTGACGCTCAATCATTTTATATATTAAAATACAACTTGTCTCTTTGTATTTCAATTTTACAAAATATAATAAATTTTGATGCACATTTCCAATAATTTGAACATCATCATCACAGTATGTTTATTATTATTAATTTATTTCTTATTAATTTCATATATATTATATTATTTTGGTAAGTACGTAAATTGGTAATTTTAATTTGTTAATCCTTTTATTCGATTCAGATGTTTATACTGATTGAAGAAATAAGTGAACTGACATTGTCGCTTATATAAATTATACAAATTAATTAAAAATAAATTTTTATTTTTATTTCATTAATATTAGTCAATACAATGTTCCTAAGACTTCTAACAGCATTAGAATGTTTTAAACATATACAAAATTTACTTATGACACTACTTATTTATTACAAATCTTGAAGAGCATTGGAATTATCATTGAATTAAAAAGCGTTAATTGAAACGCTCAAATTTAACTTTGGAATTTTTAAGTCCAATTTCTCGCGAATTTTAATGTCGGATGTAAAAATTTGTAGCTGCTTATTCTTGAATATATAAAAACGACGTAGCGCCCGCAAGTTGCGGAAACGGTGACTCGTTATTTAAAAAAAAATTACGCTCCCTGGTTCGCGGCCAAGGCGCAGCCTCTTAATAATGCATTTCTCTTGAATCGGTGCCAGCTCTGATAATTTCGATAGGGAGCTCGAGCTTTCTATATTTTCATAAAGAATAAAACTATGTTTTATTCCCGACATACCACGTTTACAGAGATCTTCAAATGTGTCCTTATGACTACCATATAACATATATATATATATATATATATATTCTTGAAAATAAGGTAATATCTATTACGTTCGATTTATCTTCAAATTATTAATTATTGCGTATAGTTATTTATTTGCGTTTATTGTAATATATTATCAACACATTTGATTATATGCTTTTGTTGGTATAAATTGTTCAATAAATGAGGCAAAGGTAATTTCGTACTATTCAATTACATACTTAAAGTATACAAATAATTTACTAGAAATTTCATTGCTCACAAGTAAATTATTGATATATTATTTATATTGGTATTAGTTCAATTTAGGTCTTTTGTTATTACTTTGCTAATATCCTAATTTTGTATTTGAACAGTGAATAAGCGTATTATGAAAAAATAAGATATGTAAAAAGTATAGTGATGAATATTTTATTAAAATTTCATAAGAGCAAATTCATTTTTTTTTCAAGTCAAATAAATTTTCTATTCAAAATTTATTTCATTAGTATATAAAATGTTACGTTGTATCATGCCAACATTCAACTATTTTAACGATATTTTCAAACGCCTATTATATTTACTGAAAATGTAAAATATAAATGCGAATTTCCACATATTACTTTTCAGTATATAACCAAAATTTAATTTCTTGCGGAATATTGACACAAATAAAAATTAATATATTTTAACAATCAAGGTATAGATAATGGAGCAGTTTGAAAACTAAGTTTGCTCAACAGTTGGTTAAAAATATAATTCAAGACTTTTCGCATTTCTTTTATGATTAAATTTTGGTAATAATTGTAATTGTACATTGAATATTGAAATTCCAATGAATCCTGTGAGATTCATAAGAACATGAATTATTCGCTGAAGGAACTGGCGTGTAAAATCTTTCCATGAACTTCCGCCCAAGTTCCTTTCTCCTCAATCACTGCCTTCACTGCTACCGTTGTACATTGCATCTCGTAATTTCTCTCCTCGGCTTCCTACTACATCTATCTCTCTCCCTCTCTGTCTCTTTCTCCGCCACTGTCTCTTTCTCGGCTCCTGTCTCTACGGCATCGCTCTCTCTTTCTTTCTCTTTCTCTCGAACCGAGTAAGAGCATAGAGAAGAACATCGATAGAAAGTCAATTTGATACGATTCGAAGTAAGTCACGCGCGCGACGCTTATCTAGTGGCTTCCGATGAAGACTTCCGACTCCTCTGCACAATTTGTTCAACTGATGGACGAAATGCTACTCGCACATGAGTAAAAACAGAGACTAAGGGAATCGAAAGTTTGATGGAATATAAAAAGAATATTGCGGATATTTTATAAAGAATTCCATTAAAAAATAACAAAAATTCGCTCGTAGACATTCGTTTTTTTTAATAATGTTTATTTGAAAAAGTTGAATATCTAAATTGTATAAACTACAATATTAATTGAATTATATATGATCTTAAATGCAGATAAATTACATTTGACTGAATATTAGTGAAGAATTTTTATTAATGATTAATATAAAGTTTTCGTTATATGTTTTTATAAAAATATTTGTATTTAAATCCTGTATGCAAAATTAAGAAAGACCTCATACATACTTTTATTTAGTAACATTTAAAAATATATTGAGCATATTTATCAGAGTATGTAAATCTATAACAGAGAATTATATAATATTTGTTAATTATCTCAATATTGAAAATATTAACTTCTTCTAATATCATATGTAAGAACATAAATATGTATTGTAGTCATAAATATGTATTTTAGACTCTGTGAGTGAGAACATTTTTCCGAACATTAATGTAGTGATGTGAAAAAAAATATAAACGAATTGACGAGAGTTGTTATAATATAACTCTGTTATATTCGAATTAGAAATTTGAATATTGTAGTTCGACTTATTGTTTTTTATCAAAATTTTCTTGTTCAAGCTGTCAAAAACTGCTTATAATTAGTAATACAATTTTTTTTAGGAAACATTTAGATTTCGTAACTATTCAAATTATAGATTTTACCTATAAATTTCGATCAACACATTTTTTGTTAATGAAAACTAAACTATTTATGATATATACTGCGTACAAAATATGAAGATATTTATATCATATAATAACTAAAAACTATATATATATTAGTTTACGAATTAATTCTTATTAAAAGTAAAAAATTAAATATCAAAGATATGAAATGTAATCAGCATCAAAAATAAAAACTATAAATGTTTTATGATTGTCATAAATACAATACGTATTTCTTAAATCGACTTATTAGTTACGTAATATATTAACCCTGTTTCCTAAAAATTAATTCTTTCAAATATTTCCTGAACTTTAAATAAGGTATTTACTTTAACAATATATTCAGGTTATATTTGAATAATTTCATAATATTATTTGATACTTTATTGTTATTAATATTAATATTAATATTGTTTATATTATTATTATTTAATACAAATTTAAAATAAAATGATTTAATATAGATAAATCATTCACTCATTAAAGCAATTTTCAGTTCAAAAGATATATTTTTAATGAAATTTAGGGACGAGTAGCGTCCTATGGCATCGTGTAATCTCTGAATAATATTTAAAATATGAAATATTATTATGCAGAAATATATTTTACTTGTAATGGCCATGATAAGATATATTTATATGCAAATCTTAATGTAAAAATTTGATTATTCATTAGTGATTTATATATGAAAACTATGAAATCTAAATTTTTTAAATTTCTCTGAAAATCATTTAAATAGATCCTTGAAATAAATAAAAGGTAATGCAATCATCACTAAAGTACAAATTTAATCCTAAATATCAATCGCCATTTTCACAATCAATCAAACTGATAATCACTTTTACTTTCTCCCAATAAATCTTAACATAGTACATTAATCAAACAGTGGTGTACTAAAAATGAAATAGTATAAATTTTAGTCTGACAATAAACGTAGGAGAAAATGTGTAATAAATGTATGAAAAATTGATACAGTAGTATAATAAATCAGGTGTAGGAGTTTTACAAAGTTCAATAATAACACACTTCTATTATAAATATAATATTTTATTATATATCATAAGAAAAAAACTTGTTTATAATTAATAAATTCTATTTCTATTAAATAGTAAATTCAGTTACTCTCACTCTTTCTCTAATTGCACTAAAATCTGTTGTATTTTTGTCACTTTTATTTTTAAAATCATGTAATATGAACACGATTTGAATTGGAATAAAAAAAAAATTCAGTCAGTTTATTATCATACAAACAGAAGCCATTCTATTCCCTTGATAATATTATTAAACATTTACGTTATTTTATCTTTAATTAAATTATTCGTCGCCGATCGTATCTTTCTACGATGCAGGGTCGAAGCTTTTTTGATCAGCAACGAATGAGTAAGAGGTGCTATCGATATTATAAGATGCGAGGGTGGAATCTATCCATTGGCGACCCATAACTACATTAGCATAAACACCTGGAATATTTAATTGGCCGCAAGCGATGCCCCATGCCACGATACCAACTTGTACATAACGAGTTGGATCATCTAGTAAAGGACAAACGAGTGGACTCCCGCCATCGCCCTATTTCGAACATAAACAGCAAAAACGTTTTACACAGTTTATCAGCTTATGATGGGATTTTAATTAAGCATTCTTTATGTAAGAAATTAATTTTTAACTGGAAAATCATATTTAGTATTGAAATTTACGGAATATACAATTACAATAGTGACTTTGAAAAATTCATTTGTTCTTATAGATTTAATATGAAAATTAAATAAATATTACAATTATTAGATTAATTATGACTGGCCATTAATACTGAATATATGTTTAAACAATAAAGAAATTGTATTGGAAATATTATTTCGTAAAAAGTCAGGTAATCGTATAATAATTATAGCGAATAAATAACATTCAAATCATTCATCAATACTCGTATTAAATATAAATTATTCTTACGGTGCAAGTATCGGCATCAGATGCACCACCCGCGCACATGAATGACTGGTGAAGTTTAAAATACTTTCCAAGTCGCGTAGTTCGTAGTGCATTTTGGCAGCTATCGTGAGCGATCGTAGGTAATTCAACAGCCTTAAGAATGACTTGAAAGCGACCGCTTTCACCTTAAAAAAAATGATTTTTCTCTAATTATAAATTAAATCTGTCTTTACGTCATCATTATTTGCAAGTATCATGTCTATTACCAAATTCATTTTTGCCCCATCCCGAAGCGAAACATTTTGTTTCATCGAAATGTATGTTATAATCGGGTAGACAAGTGGTTTTAACATTACTAGCAGCGTCAAATGGCTTTGAAAGAATAAGTAAAGCAAAATCGTTGAGAAGAGTGGCTTTATCGTATTTTGGATGCACGGACACGATGGATACGGCGCGATTTTGATGTGGCAAAGGCTCGCTTGCAGTTTGTGTATCCCATTCTCCAGCACGAACAAAAAGCTCGCTCGGCAATTTTCTATTCAACATTAATAAATTAGTTTTATTAATTATATATTAATAAGCAGAGTTTCCAATTGTATTACTTAATTACTACATTTTTAATAATACAAACACTGTACGTACACGTTACGTTTTATAGTGAAATTATTTGTACTTTTAATAAATATGTGCTGTATGTAACTAACATGCTGCCTAGGTTAGTTTTAAAAATTGCAGTCATTATACCTGTGTACATTAAAAAAGTCTATATATATAATTTTTCCTAACAGAGAAAGTATTCAAAATAATATTTTTGCCCAAGTGTATTATAACGAAAATTTAAATTTTAAATGTTCTTTCATTTATGCCGATTTTTATATGAAAAGCAACACATAAAGTTTAAAATACTATGACAAGCTAATAAAATCATTCAATTACTACGACAATATTAATTGTAACACGTATAAACTAAATTGATTCTTTAAACTATCTATTCATTCTTTAAACATATATAAATCAATAATTAACGTAAATACGTTAAGAAAATGCGTTAGATAGTGAGTGAGAAAGAACATTGAAGTAAAAGAAAAAATTGAAATGTGTAGCAAATTCATCTACTTAAAAATATTATTACAGAAGTTTCAGGTTTACTATTATATATTATTACTGCGAATTTTAAAATGACAATAGAATAGATTAAATTAGACTTAAATAGAAAGTAATGTTTTTAAATATTATTCATTACTCAAAAACGCAGTGAGCTGCAGTTAAAACTACTCTCATATTTATTAAGGAACCGCCGCATTGATAAACTTTTGTAACATTTTCTTGAATTTTAGCTTCCAGCATGACAGCAACCATCCATGGAAATTCCGCAAAATTAGCTTCATGGTTAAGGTTCCCACTAATTTTGAAACTAATACCATTTGAATTACGAAGCCCGCACTGTGTATCAATAATGTTTGATTTATTATTGTTATCACTATTAGAGTCTTGATCTTCTTTATTATTATCTGGTTTTCCAGGCTCAACCTGATTAGTTTGATTTTGCTTATCTTTATAATCAGATGATACTTCGGGAGGGAGACAGCATACATCCAAGTAATGATCACATTTTCTTCTCGCTCTAAAATTTGATGTTATTATAACATAAATATTTGTCAGGATTTAAAAATAAGAAAATTCATATAGAAATTAAATTAATATAAAATAAATTCACAACAAAGATAGAATAAGAAAAAATATAAATATTATACATATATATATATATATATATATATATATTTTTTTTCATTCTGTTAAGTTTAGGAGGTCTATTTTTAAAAGTTTCACAATTTTCAAATATTAAAGTTCAATACTTGCTTAAATTATATTAAAATTTTACTTTTAATAAATATTAGATTTATAATACTATATATAGTAATCAATTGTAAATTATAAAAGTGAAATTATTCAATTTATTTTAGAAGAATATATTAATTTTTTTTGCAAATAACTATGAATTACATCTTTTATTAAATAATAATGACATATTAATGTGGACTATACAGTCAATTTTTATTGTTATAAGTTATAGAAAGTTATTTTAACTATTGAATTAAAATTAAAAGTATCATGTCTCATTGAAAAAATTGTGTTATTTTTTAGATAATTCCCAGATTATTTTCTATGTAAAGAAAAAGATCAGATTCAATTAAAATACACCTGTTATATATGCATTTAATCTATTATTTATAATATAAATATTATGTACGTATATGGATATTTTGAGAAGTTTCAAAATTGTTCCATATTAAAGTCACATACTTTACTGATAATAAAAATATTGATTATAATTAAAATTTTACTCCATAAATATTGTATTTATTATTTGATATATTGCAAGGAGTCGTAGATTATAAAAACTTAATTATTACGTTAACACAATGTTCCGATTGCTCGATCATACATTATAGACAAAAGCGCAATAGTATTGAATTAATATTTTTATAAAAATGAATATGGCATAATTATTTCTTATATTGATAAGAAGATATATAAATGTATGAATCTTACGACATTGGGTTATCGGAGGCATCCACTATTCCACTTCTAATATCAATAATGCCCTGACCATATTCATTTGTGGTGCCATTATAATTACACTGATAGTAAGGCATACACTCACATATTGAATTTTCGTAATCAGTTTGTGTGTCTCGCTTAAATCTAATATTAGCTTCCGACTTCAATGATTCATAAAAGATAAATTCGCTATCTTTACTGACATTATCTGTTACTTTCAGTTTGTAAGCTGTGCACAAACTGATCAACAGTAAAACTTCAATGACGACCTTCATTATATTGTTATTGCATAAGCTGGAAAACATTATATTAATTTATTTATCATTTGAAGACTGTATTTCGAATGAAGTTGATTTAATGCGCAAGTTAATAATACTTTATCTGCAATAAGGTATTATTGCAAAATAATTCAATAATAGAATAATAGAATAATAGAATAATAGAATTTTTATATATTTGGATATTTTGCATATCTCCGTGTAATAATTTGTTCTTATATGTATTAAAATAATGATTTTCAGTGACTTATGACACATTGCATAAGAAACACAAGATAGATTTCTTAATTGATGTATCTAGTTATTGTTAAGTATAAATAAACATAATAGAAAAATATAACCACTTGCGTCACTTGTGCTATAATGAATATAAACATGAAAATATAAAATTATAAAAATTTACTTGTTTACATTCGATTTCATGTAATTTCAATAATTTTATATTCAAGCATTAAATAAACTTGCAAATATTACAAATTTTGCTTAAACATATTTTTGAAATAGCAAATAAAAAATTATTATAATATGAAAAAATTTTTATTATTAATACTTATATATTTTAATTTATAATCGAGAAAGAAAGAAAAAAAACGTACAATTAAGGGAAATATTTTTAATTTTTCAATATTAATATAGATGTATAATGATTTTAAATAAAATACAGTATAGATTTTTAACTATTATAAACATTTTTAAGCCGTAATTAAAATTTATAGTTGCAAGAAATAAATAAAAATGTCATAATAATAAGAAATATTTTTATTTTGTAAAATTTTGTTGCTTACAATTCTTATAAAAAATTTATATTCAGTTATAATATATCAAACTTATAATATATTCGTAATTGCATTTTGAATGTTGTGCAAGACGATATACGATCATTAAAGTAAAATTTATGTTTATTTAAATATTTAGTAAAATTTATGAGCATAATTACAGGGTGTACAAACATTTAGTCAAATCTCATCTTAATTAATTATCTATTAATTAACAATATAAAAATATTTTTTTCTTTCGAATACATTTATAAGGATATAAAAATTATTTTCCCTTTCTAAATTTCATACATTATTCATTTATATATTTAAAATTGTAAATATTTTCAGACTTTAGTTTCATTTAAATTAAATGAAATGGTACTAAATTAAAAAGAATACTTACTCACCTTAACAAAAAATATGTCCTCTTGTGAACAAAGTCTAAAGATTAATACGTTTGTATCTTGTTGAGTTGAGTTTTTAGCATAAATACTAAACAGGTTGCTGGCTCCCCTTCCACCAATATTATAAGAATTGTGGAATTGGTCTGTTGAAACATTGTGATATCACATCGCTGACCAATTTTATTTCGAATAGTTCATAAGTCTGAAAACAAAACAATGTTTTACATAGTTTATAAAATATTTGTTTTATATTCACATTGTTATAATTTATCCCATTCATGTGCAATAACAATTTTTTTAGTTAATTTGAGAATTGCCAATTTCATTTAAAAAAAAAAAACATTTATGATTCAGAATTAAACCAAAGACTTACTCAAGGATATTTAACAATAATCATACTCAATTAATTATCAATTTTTAAGAAAACTATCTATTCTTGACTAACTGAGAATGCATTCATTTATAAATTAAAGGATTGCTTCTAAAAGGTGTAATTTTTTCAAATTCATGTTCGTGCAAATATTTATTTTCATGTAAAATTATGTATTAATATAATTATTATTTAAATATAAATTAGATTGTAAAATATGAAATAGAAATGTATATATTTAAATATGATTAAATGCATTTCTCTATTATAAATTCGTAAATTATATATACATAGATATAAAAAACAATATGCATTGTTAAATAATTAATATTTTATGTATTATAAAGTACATAAAAGATATAATCATTAATTAGAAAAATATTTTTTGTATATCAATTATCATTTATTATCGTATTTAACATAGCGTAGTATGATAACTAAATTATCAATAAAATAATAATTAATTTCATTTATCTCGATAAATGCGTAAAAATATATATCATGATATGCATAAACATTGTGAGATTAAAAGATCAATAAAGCGGTTGTTTTTTTACGAATTTTTTTGGTAATGGAAATAAATAATTTACAACTTTTATTACAAAATTCGATCTATGTAATGAAATGCTACTTAATTGACAATTTTGTTTCTCGATGGATTAATGCACTTTCATATTATTTAGATATAAATATATTTATTAGCTGAATATTTTTTAATATCAAATTAAAATTGTTCGTTTTATTGTTTCAATTTTTAATTTCTTTGAGGATCTTAGAAAATTGGAGTAGCAATGAATTTTTATAATTATATCATTATTTGAAATTCAATTATAATTTTTAATACATTCATAAATAACATATTTATTTACGATAAAATATGTTAGTTTTTAGTTCAAATATAAGTATAATATATAAATATATTGTTAGTTCTTATGGAAATGGTTAATTCGTTTCTGTGAGTAATGATATATAAGAAATAATATTAAAAAAACAATAATTAATTAACAAATTACTATTCATTTATTTATTCTTCAACATACTTAGAAACCTTTAATTTAATAAAATCAACATTCCATGATTTATTTATATATAATTCGGAAATTATTGAACTGCTGTAGCAGATTATGAATATCCGAATATGCTTTATAAATAAATTAGCTGACACAAGAGAAATTTATTGGATATGATTTTCCTTCAATTGTTATATATTTTAATTATTTTTTCACTCTATTTTAACTATTTTTCTAATACTATGTAATTCTGAATATTTACGTATTTTAATAAAATGACAATTGCCCTAAATTAAAAATAAATAATAAAAAAATTAATGGAGCTTATTTATATTAATTAATAAGTTTCAATCATAATGTAATCAAAATACATTATCAACTACAAGAGTTGTAAATTTTATTTAAAAATTACTCATAACTAAATGCAGTTAAATTTTCTATATATTATAGTCCCAAATTTCAGTTAGTATTTACATTACTAAAAGTTGCATCTAGTAAATTATTAATATTAAATTTTTCTAATTACTACTATTTCAAAAAATATTTTATATTGTGTTTCTAGTAATAATTTTATTTCTATTATATAAATTATTACAATTATTAAAATTCAACTACCTCTAATAAATAACAATATATATGTGTATGTGCATTATAACATTTAACATAACTTTTGGAAATGGAACATAATATGACTAGGAATGAAAACTATTAATTTTTTTATTGGTTTTAAAAATAATAGCATTTTCTCTATTTTATGATTTATTTTGTATATTAGTTTTTATAATAAAAACTTAAAGTTCAAGAACAATGTAATAAAAATTAATAAGAAAAATAATAAAAGTAAAAATAAATAAAATTTTCTTTATATAAATTATTTATAAAGTTATTTAAAGTTATAGTTGGTGTTATATATATATATATGCTATTAACGTTAATGAAATTAATTAATTAAGAGTTTTAGTATAGAATGCGATTCTTAAGTGTTAACTAGTCTATTAAGCAGTCAGGGATTTTACTCTCATTGTGGGCTTTAGCTGCTAAATAGTAATTTACAACTAACTTTGTAATATTTCGGCAAAAAGCAACTTCTTAAGTTTTGGATTTGCTCAGTATGGAGTATATCATGATTATAATTTGTTAATATGACTACATCTTCTAGCCTATGAAACTCTTCATATACAAGTTACCATTAAAGATAATATGTCTGCTAGATACTAAGGGTACTTGAACTTTTACGATAGAATATTCCACAAGTAGAAGATATGTTATATTTTCATTATGAATTATAATATAATATTTTACGTTGAAAACAATTTAGAAAATTATGAAAAATTACAACAAAAACAAATAAGGAAATTTTAGGTTAAAAGAGTGCGTCTCAATATTGATTTTTTATTTGTTGAGTTATAATCAGAAGCGTTAATTGGTAATTATAATTGGTATTTTATTTATATCCCATATTAATTTTTATTTTTTCTTATATACTTCAAGAAATATAAATTCAGGAAATATAAATAAAGATAAAAGAAATATAAATATGGATTTTATTAAAAAAAATTTATTTATTTTTTTTTAAGATCTGAAAAAGAAATTTTTTGTAAATTGTATAAGAAATGATCTATATAAAATAAGGATGTAGGCTTTTATGAAAGTTTTTAGCTATTCAGAATCTGCCTCACTTATACATATAATATTTATTGCTTCGCCATTATCGATTGTTTTAGGGATTAAAATTAAATTTCAAGTAAATTAATATATAATACGACAATTTAGGAAAATAAAATCGCGCAAACAAAGGGTTAAAGTTTTAAAAATAATTTCCATAACTTTCAAATATAATATCCTTAATGTTTTAACATACAAAACTTATTCGGATTTATCATTTTACTAAACTAATTTGATTATATTAGTTAAAATGGCAATTATTTGCAGTACTTTTTGGCTCTTCTGAACCATCAAAACTATTAAAGAATAAAATAAAGAGTTATATTTCTTTATTATTAATTTTTTTATTTACATTATTTGTAAAGTAATGAGAATTTATTTTCATATCTATTTTCAGCCACAGTATATAGTATATAGTTTGTGTTATATAGTATGCCAGTATACCATTATATGCAAGATATTATCGAAGAAAGGCTACCTGTTACGTGAGAAACTTAAACGTTTAAATACATGAGGCAGTAAATATGCAGCTTAATTTTTGGCTTTGGAATTTTATTAAAAAACTTTTTAAATTTGATCTTTATAGGGTTTGAATCAATTTTTACTGCATTTTATAAATTTTAGCGATCATTTATTAAAATAACCATTCTTTCAATTTTTACAGTGTATAGCATTCAGCTTATAAAATTAATTTTCAATTTTGTTAATAAGGTTTATTTATTTTCAGAAATTTCAAACTTCAATTACTTATTACTGTTTGTATTGTATAATATAAATACATTTGTTACTAAAAGTATGAAGTTTCATGTCTAATTACTGAATCTGATAATATTTGAAAAAAAAACTTTTAAATGGAGAGTAGATAGAGTAATAAAACTAAAATGTTTTCTTTAAAATTCGTTAGTTTATGTCATAAAATAATCCCGTTAATTTTTATATATTTATGAAATGATATTAAAAGATAATTCAAATATGTAATTTCAAATCAATCTTTCATCTGTAGTGGCTGTACTTGTTTACTCAGAACAATAAAATAAAATAAAATAATCAATGTAGGAAAATTAACGGTACTAATTAGATTTAATTATCATCATTTTAAACATGCTCAACACATTTTAATATAGTTTATTTGGCGTATAAATTCCAAGCTTATTATTTCATGAATTAAATTGTATTAGTGTATAATAAATTGAAAAAAAGTAATTAAAATGAATTGGAAAATTATTTAAAAGTGAAAAGTTCTTTTTTCTTTCCTGACTTCGAATAGAACATAGGCAAATAAACGATACTTTTCTTATACGTAACAATTAATCTGTCGAGTCGATAAATTAAACGACTTCATTAACAAACAATTGCAGGGAATCTCTCCTATTTCATTGGTTAGAGAATTAACAGTATTTAGCATTGGTTAGTTTGTCTAGTGGAGAGTTGGATATCCGGTTGCTAGGCTCTTCTGTACTCACGTGAATTCTCGGATTGATTTCCGATCTTAGCCGAACAATACGTGAGTTACATGCGTATTGGCTTTTGGCGCTTACGAGATTGTGTCCCCGGAGATCTGGCCAGTGCTTAACGAGCGTCTCGTACGCGCCAGTCGTACCAAAACATCAGCTAATTACGACTGGTTTTAGTGTCTCTTTTTAATTGAATCATATGCACAGCTTGTAATGAGATACAATGGATTCGTGGATGCGGTTTAAAACAAATTAGTATGCCAGCTGATGATGTAGTTTCAGCTACCCACAATTATCTTAATGACATTCAACTATTAATTTTCGTTTAATTAATTTATGAGCAAATATATAATTAAATTAATTTTTATACTAATTGCGATGTTAATATTATATTATAATACCGATAGATTAATTTTATAATTATAATCAATGTATCGATATTCGTTTCTTTTCATTTTATAATCAGAGAAATATTAGGTTTCAGTTAAAAAAAAAAATATTTAAAAACGACATCTCTACTGTGCCATCAAATAATTTACCAATAATAAATGCTGATACAGTGAACATACCGTGCATATATG